AATCAAGATGAGAATATCCTATGCCAAAATCTTAAACATTTCAGATTAATGATTGTTTTATTATCTTTTATGTTTTTCTGCATGTTACAAATTTTCTATAATGAATATGTACAACTCTCATACACAGGATAAAAAGTAACTGTTCCTTAAAAAAATCAGACCCCACAGGCAGCACACAGATCCAAGATTATAAACAAATATTCCACAACCAGGTGAAATGTAAATAGAAAACTCAAAATATATGAGTAAACTCTGCAGATAGACTTAACTCTCTACCTCTCCTCCTAACTAAATAAATAAATTACGTCAAGTAAGATTAATGAAGACAGATGAAGAAAGTCAACTTTTCCAAATGACAAATTTGTCATGCCTAAACAATCAGCCTTTTGTAACTTAGAAAGTATTTTCTAATTGACACTAAACATGTTAAGAGGCTGAAAGTTATTAAGTAGGCTGCAAATTATGTTTTATATTGGTCTAACCAGTTTAACAACTAACATTTAAAATTTACAGTGTGGGGCTTCCCTGGTGGCACAGTGGTTGAGAGTCCGCCTGCCGATGCAGGGGACACGGGTTCGTGCCCCGGTCCGGGAAGATCCCACATGCCGCGGAGCGGCTAGGCCCGTGAGCCATGGCCGCTGAGCCTGCGCATCCCGAGCCTGTACTCTGCAATGGGAGAGGCCACAACAGTGAGAGGCCCGCATACCGCAAAAAAACAATAATAATAAAATAAAATAAAATTTACAACGTGCTTATACACACATTATCAAACAGAACACTTTTGGTATCTATCCAAAATGGAATTTAAAACTTTAAGTACTGTAATTTGAAGTAATTTGGTCATTTTAAGTAACTGAAGATTACAAAGGCTGTAACACTACAATAGGAAGAATAAACTTAAAGGGTATACAAAACTATATTTAAATTTAAAGGGAATACGAAACTGGGATATGTGGGACTCAGGCCTTAAAGACATCAAAGTAATCGTACAATTAAGATAATTTTACTTACGAATATGCTCAAGCCAACTGTCAGAATGCTGATACATAGAGTAAAAAAATTAAGGAAGATACTAGTATCAGTAGTAAGATATTCACTACTGAGCACAGATTTTAAGAGGACCCTTCTTGAAGTTTAAGCAATGATCAGTAAGAGATTGAAATGAGACTCAAATTACTGGCTTAATTTTGCTGTAAAAAATGTAATGCTTACTAGGTATAATGAAATATAATGAAAATACTTTAAGGAAATGTTTTCAAAATCACTCAGGGATAAACTTATCTTTTCAAATTATGTGTAGTTATGACTTATTTCTGACAGATGAGAAACAGTCTATAATGATCCATGGGTTTCTGGTTTCTGAAACAGAAATTTCTTCCTCCTCAGCACTTCTATAGTACTTTATTTGCACCTGTCTTAAGTCACTGATCAACTCTTATCTTTTCATGTTACTAGCATATCTATCTTACCACCTTATCAGACAGAAACTCTTCTGCACATAGAAGCTTACAAATACGTCATAATAAATTATGCTGTTCATTACAAACGTTAATGGTAATCACATTATAAACTATACACTTTTCTACCATTCAGAATAATTGTTAGAAATGTTTTCCTGTAAAAATAATATACAAATTATTAAAATATGTGTCAATAAGAAAAATGAATAAGCCATAACTCTGTCACAGTAATACAGGAATTGATTCTTTTTCTGAAATCTTACTTTGCATATACATCTTACAGCAGCAATCAAAATGAAATATAGTCATTAACTCATTTTAGTTCAGTAGGGTAGAATTTGCATCGTGGATCAATTTCAGTAAAGGTCAAAAAAATTCTAGCCTCTTCCAAAATTAAACATAAGTTATAATTATGCAGACATGCAGGTAAAGACTGGAAAATAAGGGACTTCCCTGGCAGTCCAGTGGTTAAGACTCTGCGCTTCCACTGCAGGGGGCACAAGTTTGATCCCTGGTCGGGGGACTAAGATCCCGCAGGCCGAGCGGCGCGGCCCCCCCCGCCCCGCAAAAAAAAGAAAGACTGGAAAATAACGTGTGAAATGCAAAACATGAAAATAATTATGTTTGGGTGATGGAGTTACTGAAAATTTCTTTCATTTGTAGAAAAAGTGCTGAAGTAAAACCAAAAGCTGAAAAAAAATTTATCTAATGAGATTTTCAGGCAGTTTTAAAACATGACAATATCTTTTAGCCCTTCACTGAATGCTTACTATGTGCCAGGTACTATTCTAGGTGCTGGAGAAAACAAAATTCCTGCCTTTATGAACTTTACAGTACAGTGAGGAAAAGTAAAAAGAAAACAAAGTAAATAAGATAATTTCCATTAAGGTTGCTTCTGCTCTTTAGAAAACTGAACAGGGCAATGAGATAAGTATTACAGACTGGGTTTGGGAGAACCACCTAAGACTGAGGACACTGAAAATGGCTTGCTGGCGTGACATCTGAGCTGAGATCTGAATAATGAGATGGACAAAAGGCTGAGAGAAGAACTACGCTGAAGGATCAGCAAAAATGAAGATCCTGAGGTAGGTGAGCTTCATGTATATGTGGACAGAGTGTAGTGAGCTAGGTAAGCAAGGAAAAGGCTTAGAACATGAGGAGCCTTGAAGGTAAAAGTTTAGATTTTATTCCTAATTTGTTAAGAAGCCACTGGGGTGGAGGGAGTGGTTTAAAAAGTAAACAACATGTTTTTCACTTTTTTGTGAACTTATTTTGGAGAATGGATTATAAGAGGACGTGAGTAGAAGCAAGGGAGCTATTAACAATAGTTCAGGTGAGAGGTTATGGAGGTTTGAAAGAATGGTAGCAACCAGGATGGAGATAAGCATTTGGATTCAAGATATAGTCTAGGTCAGAAAGAAAAGGACTTGCTGATTGGATGTGAGAGAGAGAGGACTGAAGGTTTTGGCTTGTAAAACCATTTATTTAGATGAAGAAGACTGGCGGGAAGAACAGGTTTGGGTTCTTTTGAATTTTAAGTTTGAGATGCAAAACCAGGTGAGAATGTTGATTTTTTTTTAAAATGTAAATAAACAAGCTTGGGAATTCCCTGGTGGTGCAGTGGTTAAGAATCCACCTGCCAATGCAGGGGACACAGGTTCGAGCCCTGGTCCGGGAAGATCCCACACGCCACGGAGCAACTAAGCCCGTGTGCCACAACTACTGAGCCTGCGCTCTAGAGCCCGCGAGCCACAACTGCTGAGCCCACGTGCCACAACTACTGAAGCCCGTGCGCCTAGAGCCCGTGCTCCGCAACAAGAAGCCACCACGAGAAGCCCATGCACCGCAATGAAGAGCAGCCCCCACTTGCCACAAGTAGAGAAAGCCCGTGCGCAGCAACAAAGACCCAACACAGCCAAAAATAAATAAATTTATAAAAAATAAAAAAAAATAGGGCTTCCCTGGTGGCGCAGTGGTTGAGAGTCCGCCTGATGATGCAGGGGACACGGGTTCGTGCCGCGGTCCGGGAAGATCCCACATGCTGCGGAGCGGCTGGGCCTGTGAGCCATGGCCGCTGAGCCTGCGCGTCCGGAGCCTGTGCTCTGCAACGGGAGAGGCCACAACAGTGAGATGCCCGCGTACCGCAAAAAAAAATAATAATAATAAAAATAAATAAATAAACAAGCTTGACTTTCAATTATTGAAATCCCCCTATAAGCTTGAGAAGAAAAAGAGGAACCGTGTTTCTTATCTTTGTTCCCCCGAAGCCTAACACTGCCTGGTACATATAATATTCTGTACCTAGTAAAATTTTTTGAGGAGGAGGATGGCTTTTTGTTACCAAAATCAAAAATCCTTGAGGACAGCAGTTCCATGTCTACACGATAACTAAGAAAGCGCTTTGGTACCTAAGTGGGACCACCTGCCAATGCCCAGGTGAATGATTTCTATGTGATCGTAATATTTATATTTGGCTTCAGCTGTAAAAAATTATTTTTGCAGTGTTCAGACTCTCTCAAGTGAAGGTCTTGTTTTTCTTCTGAGTGTAGTTTTATGTGCTCAAAGCTGTTAAAAAAAAAAATTACCCTTTAACATGAAGGGCTAGGACTCCAGGTACATTTACAACCAAAAAAAGATTCGACTTCTAAATGACCTGCATCTGGACAACGGAGACGTTAAGTACCTCACACCCAGCAGATGAAAGCCAATTAGCAAAGGAAGCAACTCCTTCTCACCAGCAATAAACCGAAAGAGGTTCAAAAAGGGGAGGGGAAGAACATTTGTATTTACTGAACATCTTTTACAGACTTGGCACCATGTCAGAACTACGTCCTTTAGATTCTCAAAATAGTGAGGAAGGTATTCATTTTCACCACCCATTTTAGAGATGAGAGCTCAGAGTACCTCGCTCTGTCTACTTCATCCAGTCACCTCACCTTACAGCTCAAGTCTGAGTCCTTGCCTCTCCCCGCTCCCGCCGCCCCATGGAAAAGTACTCACGCTTAACTGCACGTACAGAGCAACTCAAAGGCCCAGAGAAATGGCAGAAAACGCCACATCCACTGCCAAAACCACTGGCAGAACACCTCTGCAAGCCCTTCGGATGCCAAAGCCAGGCATGCCTTCGGTCTCGGCACCCACGGCTCTCGCACGCCCTTCCTCCCCTCGCTTACTCATCTCGCTCATCAACAGAGAAAGGAGAGGGTTGAAGCCGCAGGAACCCAACACGGCCCTGCAGCGGGTGTGATGAGACAGGAGAGAAGGTTGGAGACAGGCCCCACAGCCCTCTCTAGGTGGAAGTGACAATGAAGGATATAAGGAGCCGAGGCAGGACAGATGGCAGTTCCCGGCGGCATAGCTCCTCCGGCCAGCTACTTAATTCTTCCAGGGGAACCGCGCTCGCCGGGACAGCGCGTTCCTGAGACATGCTTTCGCCCAAGACCAAAGCTTCGAAACACTCCCGCCGGAGCCAAGACCGGAAACTCCCACCGTCCCGGCAGGCCTTGCGAGCCAAAACCATAGAGAGGAAGGGCGCCGCTTTCCTTAGTGAGCCCGGGCCCCACACGACTGGGAATAAAGCCGGGCTTGTCTGGCCCGCGGAGGCCTCGACACACTGGTGCGCGCTTTCAGTCGGGAGGGTCTGGCCGGATTACTCTGGAGCTGGGAACCTGCCGGGGAGCTAGCGTCCACAGGTCTGGATCGCTGTAACGTTGCTTTTGAGACGCTTTGGGGGAGGTGAGGGCCGGGAATCCACAGATTTGCTACACTCCGTCCCTTGGGGCTTTGAGGTTGCACATCTGGTGTCGGGTTTGACCTGGGACTTACAGCCAGAAATGACTCCAAGCCCCGCTGTGAAATGGGATAGAAACAGGCGCCTTCCTACCCACTTAATGTGTTGACCCTACTCTGTACGTCCTATGTAATGGGGATAAAGACCCACCTGCCAGAACTGTTGTGCAAATTGAAGTAGACGGTATATTTTAAGTGTCTAGCCAGTAGATCCAGAGAAGAGTCTCTTTATTAAGTTGCTTCCATTTTCTACGGATCTCCCCGCACAGTTCAGTGCCCTTATTCTGTGTCAAGCTAATCTTTACTAATTACTCCACAGTTACCTCACTCCCAGTACACTTAGAGCTGCAGGCCTCCACGAAATGTTTGTAGTGAGGTCATCTGAATGAATTTACACACATCAGAGCATACCTGTGCCTGTTTTTAAAGGGATGTTCATTTATCAAAATACAATCTTGAAGTCCTGTTACTTGAAACGGTAACAGATTGAAGAGATTCTGGCAGTTTCGGAGGTTAATATGTTTGGGCAGGGTCGTGACAGATGAAACACACTAAATAGCTAGGCTTGTCATTTCCTGCCTGAGAATTTTGGACTTTACCTTATTTCTAGTTGTTGCTGCTGCTGTTATTTTGTTTGTTTTTACGGTTTATTCTCTTCTCCAGCTTTTTTTTTTTTTTTTAAGACGTCGGGGGTAGGAGTTTATTAATTAATTAATTTATTTTTGCTGTGTTGGGTCTTCGTTTCTGTGCGAGGGCTTTCTCTAGTTGTGGCAAGCGGGGGCCACTCTTCATCGCGGTACGCGGGCCTCTCACTATCGTGGCTTCTCACTGTTTCGGAGCACAGGCTCCAAACGCGCAGGCTCAGTACTTGTGGCTCACGGGCCTAGTTGCTCCGCGGCATGTGGGATCCTCCCAGACCAGGGCTCAAACCCGTGTCCCCTGCATTAGCAGGCAGATTCTCAAGCTCTGTGCCACCAGGGAAGCCCTCTTCTGCAGCTTTTGAAACCTGAAGGGTGTGTGTGTTTTCAAGTCTCTTTATCTCCCTGTCCCTCCACCGCTTTCATAGAAAAGGCAGCTGCTGGGGGTGGAGCAGGGGACTGTTTAATATTACATTTACGTAAAATGTGTCATTTTGCTTTTTAATAACAATTTTCTTTTTTTTTTCTCCAGAGCTAAATTGAAAAAAGAGCAAAGACCTCTTAAAAGTCATTTGGAAATATCTCTGAATATTGTAACTGTTTATAAGCAGCTAAAGAGAAATGGATCTCCAGCAAAACTAACAGAATAATTGAAGCAGGTTTACGTGTGTGTCATCAGTTCTATCCAGAAGTTGAAGAACCTTCCTTTGAGTTTAACGATTGTGTGCATTTTATGAGAGAATGACTTTTCAATTTAATTTCACTATAGAAGACCATCTGGAAGATGAATTAACATCCCTTGGAGATGGAGCTTTGGCCCTAGATTCCTCAGAAGAGTCTTCAGTCTCAGAAAGACAAAAAGGTACACATAGAGACAAAAAACGTCCTACAGAACAGTTTGACCTGCTTCAGGATCATTTGTGGGAGCATAAGTCAGCAGGAAATGCAGGTCCCTCTCAAGACACAGGCAGCTCACTCAATGCAGCTAACAGTTCAAGTAGCTTGGAGCCACATGAAAAGCAGCCCTGCTTTAGAGTTGCCAAAGAGCATGCTATGCCTAAAGATTTAAAGAAAGTGTTAGAAAATAAAGTCAGAGAAACATTACCAGGTCTCCAGCATATGAACATATCAGTAGTGAAAACCATCTTGTTGAAAGAGAACTTCCCTGGAGAAAACATCATTTCAAAAAGCTTTTCTGCTCACTCTGATCTGATTACAGGTGTTTATGAAGGAGGTTTAAAAATCTGGGAATGTACCTTTGACCTCCTGGCATATTTTACAAAGGCCAAAGTGAAATTTGCTGGGAAAAAAGTGTTGGATCTTGGTTGTGGATCAGGGTTGCTGGGTATAATGGCGTTCAAGGGAGGTGCCAAAGAAGTTCATTTTCAAGATTATAACAGTGTGGTGATTGATGAAGTAACCTTACCTAATGTAGTGGCTAACTCCACTTTGGAAGATGAAGAAAATGATGTAAACGAACCAGATGTGAAAAGGTTCAGGAAATCAAAAGTAGCACAAGCACTATGTAAATTCCGGTTCTTTTCTGGGGAGTGGTCTGAGTTTTGTAAGCTTTTACTAAGCAGTGAAGAACGTTTTGAAAAATATGATCTCATTCTTACCTCAGAAACCATTTACAATCCAGGTTATTATGGTCCTCTGCACCAAACAGTCCTTAGATTGTTAGATAAAAATGGACGGGTGCTTTTGGCCAGCAAAGCACATTATTTTGGTGTGGGTGGAGGTACTCATCTCTTTCAGAAGTTTGTTGAAGACAGGAATGTATTTGAGATGAGAACACTCGAAATAATTGATGAAGGACTAAAGAGATTCCTAATTGAGATGAATTTTAAGTACCCCAGTTAATGCCCACTGAGAGTCCTAAGTGAAATAAACAAAATAACCAAAACTTGAATGTTCGATTTCTGCTTTGCTGTTATTTTTTTCTGAAATTATGATATTTAGTTTTGTTTATCCAAATAAGAGACCAACTATATTAGCGACATTGTACTTGCTAAGTGAGACTGAAAAAATAGTGCTCCTCAGCATTTGAAAAGAGCTCCTAGGAAATCATTTTGTGGGAAAGTTTTCCGTTCTCCACTTTCATTCAATTTGACCTTTCTACCACCTTTAGCATATAAATTTGTTCCCAGGAAAATCTGCCATTTTTTACCTCAAGTTTGAATTTCTTCCCAGTCTTTGTCAGTTTCTGTTCACATGAAGTGCCTGATCGATCACCATGCTGTTAATTCTAAAGGCATACATATGCATCACTAAATGATTCTGAATCTAAATATTAGATTGAAGGCCTTGGGTAACTAGGAAGAAGTTTTTGTTTTGTTTTATTTTTATATTCATTTATCTTGTATAATAAGAATTAGAATGCTGAGCAGTTGAATTCAACATTAAGATGGAAGAAATAAGGGGAATCATGATAGAGAATATAAAGATGGTACAGAAAACTTACAGTGCTTGTAGCCCTTTTTAGCCAAGGAAGTAGGAGACCCTAGGGTCTTGGTAGGAGGAAAAAGAATAGGAAACAGAATTCCAGATTCTGGGGAGTAAAGACTCTTCACTAGTTAAGTAGGGCAAAGAAGGGGAGAAAAAGTATTTTGATTCTAATGCAAAAATGTTCACACTTAACATATCTAAAATTGGGGTCTACCTTACTGTCTAATAATTATTGTACAACTGGCAGTATTTTTTTCCTTCTTGAAGGTACCTAAAATAATGGTACGACTTGGATTCAATGAAATGTGATATTTACTGGACATCTGTTAACTAGGCACTTTGTATATATCTTGCTTAATATTTATAACCTCATAAAGTATATATCATCCCCATTTTAATAATGATCATAATAGCTAACAGTTTTCAGCATTTACTATATGCAGGGTAGAAGAGATTTACATATACTAACATATAATATTCGTAACAGCCCTGAATTAGGTTATAATTACTATCTAGATTTTATAAAGAAATTGAGGGACTTCCCTGGTGGTGCAGTGTTTAAAAATCCAGCTGCCAATGCAGGGGGCATGGGTTCGAGCCCTGGTCCAGGAAGATCCCACATGCCGCGGAGCAACAAAGCCCATGCACCACAACTACTGAGCCTGTGCTCTAGAGCCCGCGAGCCACAACTACAGAGCCCGTGCACCAAAACTACTGAAGCCCACATGCCTAGAGCCCATGCTCCGCAACAAGAGAAGCCCCCACTTGCCACAACTAGACCACATACAACAACGAAGACCCAACGCAGCCGAAAATAAATTAATGAACAACAACAACAAAAAAAATTGAGACTCAAGAAAGTAAGTAATTTGATCCCAATCACATTCCTGACATTCAGAATCAGAATCTGAACTGAAGTCTTTTTAAAAGCTTCACTCTTCACCACCCCAGCAGTCTTACAATGCCTATTTTTCATCACATGTATTTCTTAGCACCCTTTTATTATTCCGAAATGAAAGTCATTGTTAAAGAAACTTATTTACACACATCATTAAAAATTATATGTATTATACATAAATCCCTAATGCATATATATCATATATGTGTGTATGTATGTATGTGTATATATATATATATAAATAAAACTATAATATGAAGAAAGTCATTTATAATCAAATAATTTGTATTCCATCAGGTAAATGCACAGGAGTAGCTACTGAGAGGACATGTAGTAGTCAGATGCTTTTACCTAGGATACTGTTACTGCAAGTATCACAGCTACAATTCCAGATCCACCTACTAGATAAGGTAGAATAGGCCCTGACAGCAGTTTTAGCTAATTGAGGAGGTACAAAGCATTAGACAGAGTCCAATAACAATAGTCAGCATCAATAATTTTGAGACAAATAGGTATCTCTCAGTTCTCCATGACAAATTAGATACCCAAAGAGGTGTCATCTAGGAGGCCTCTCCAGGAGTAGAAGAGACACTGGCCCTGAACGGGAGGGGGGTCCAGTGAAAACAGCAGGAGTCAAAGCAGAAGCCCAGTCCTAGGAACTAGATAATCCTGGGCATTAAAGATAATTCTGGAGGTGACAGCCGAACAGGGACACATCTACCCAAGATAGCTGGCAGCAAAAGAGACTTGAGATAAAATTATGGATATAAATCCAGGAGAAGGATGCATAGTGCACTTTCCCATGTAAATAGCTTAATTATTTAAAGAGGCATATATGTTAAGACAATGAGCTTTGGAGTCCAATACTTGGGTTAAAATTCAGTTTCCCCAACTGCAAAATGGGGTTTATAGTAATATCTCCCTAACAGAATTCTTTTAAGGAATAATAGTTAATATTGGAAACCTTTCAGGGAGTTTGGAGTTTTAGAGCATGAGTCACGCATTCTCCTTGCACTGGTGCCTTACAATAAATGCTTCACCTTCCTTCACTACAAAAAAAAAAAAAAAAAAAAAAGTAGTATTGAGCACTTACCATGCTTCCTTCCACATGGTTCCTATGTATAAATGGAAATTATTATGTTCATGAATTCTCATAATATTTTTCATCCTGTCATCCTGTTTTCACAATAAAATAGGAAGCCTTGTTCACTTTTCTTAAAAATTGGGTTTGTGACTTTACAGTTTACAAATCCCAGTTCAGAACTTGGAGAAACAAATAGATTCCAGAACTTTCACTGCCCAAGACCAACCCCATTCTCTCCCTCCACAACCCTCCCCAAACTTCACCTTGCAGTTTCCAAGTTGTCTTTTTTGGATGCTTTGGCATTGCAGAGCATCAAGGATGAAGAAGAATGCATCTTGTAAATTTTTTTCTAAAAACTCATTCACATGTAGCCTGTGTTCTGCCTTTAAACTCCCCATTTGTCAGATGTGCCTGTACCCTTAGTTCCATTTCCACTGCCCCACAGAGGCTCTCTGCCTGAAGCTCAGGAACAGGGGATGTCTCCATGCAGACCAGGAGCTGACACACTTCCTTGTCAAATGCAGTTGCCAATGACACATGTGCTGTACTGTCCTCAGGGGAGATGGGGTCTGATGGGGTCAGCTGCTCATCTAGAGGAGAAAATATGCCTTCACTCTTCAGTACCCTCCATAGTGTTTTATTCAGGTTTTATTATAGCTTAATACATAGCTATTTGAAAAAAAGAAATAGCAAGTAAACTATGTGACAATGTAAACTTGATTCTTTGCCTACACCTCAGCTAGAATTTCCTTAACTTCTCATACTGTGTTATGGTGGCACTGAGCTTGCTGATATTAAGTCTTTTCTTTGGGTTAAAATACACATTCAAAATCACCATCATAACTTGGGTGCAGCCCAGCAGAGGAAACTCTCTGTGCCATAAAAGAATACTTTTTTGCAGCCCTGGGATGCAGCTTCTAGTCAACCAGGTTGGTTGGCAGAAGCTACAGAACCCTTATCACCATTAGGTAGTATCTCACAATTCCAATTGCTGTTTTCTTAAGGAATTAAAAGTGAACTCAGATAACCCTTAAAAATAGCTTCATCATCTATACAGGAAGTTGTCAAAGTGCGTTTTCAGGAGAAGGATTAATACTCTGTTTGAAAGAAACAGTAAAAATTACAATAATAACAAACAACTTAGTAAGCTAAGAAAGTATTGTAAAGGAAGTGTGTCAGCTGCTGTTCTGCATGGAGACATCCTCCACCGTCACCCTCCCCAGTTTATGAGCTATGGGCAGAGAGCCTCTGTGGGGCAAGGGAAATGGAACTAAGTGTACAGGCACATCTGAGAAATGGAAAGTTTAAAGGCAGAACATAGCCTGCATGTGACTGAATTTTAGCAACAAATTTACAAGATGCATTCTTCTTGATCCTTAATGCTCTGCAATGCCAAAACACCCAAAAAGGACAACTCTTACTCCTTACACAACAGGATAAGTGGCCGAGGAGGTTATGATCTTTAAAAATACAATGAAGGGAATGCTGCTGCTATCTTTTTTTTGTGGTGTATACTGATGGGATGGAAAAAGTCGATGTGAAGGTTTGCTTTTGGCAGTATGTACCATAAGCTTTTGCAGTAGAATCAGATGTACTCATTGTCACAGAGCCCCCAGTGCCTCGGCCATGCTGCTGCTGGACTGTGGTGGCTTGGTGCAAAGAAAAAGACACTCTGCCCTCCAGGCAGACACAGCTTCAGGTTAGAGAACAGGATGGGGCAGGTAGAACAGGGCTGTTTTCAGCTCCATTTGCTCCCTCAGCACTTCTTAGTAGCCCTGTGCTTTAGCCTTACAAACTTCCACAACTTTCTGACTGATAAAATATTGGAAAATGGTCAGTAAACTGATGAACACCAGAGGATCATGTAACATCCACTAAATCCAGGAAGTGGAGGCTGTCAGAGACGGTGCTTTTCTTTTCTCTTCTCACAGTGATTTACAGTCTCTCTGTCAGGAGCAACCAGCACAATTCTATGGAGTAAGGTCTTAGGGATCTTATTTTACAGCAGGTGAACTCAGAAGGAATGTTTGAACTGCGGTATGAGCTACAGAGACAAGAATTCCCACGTAACCTCCCCCTGCACACTGGACACTGCCATGGAGGTTATCAACATGATAACTGGAAGCAGATGGCTACTGAGACCTGTCCCTAGCACCCCATCCAGGAGTCTCAGAGGGCTTTGGCTGTCCTAGCTGCACCATAGCAGCTGCACAGTTCTGAAAGCCTCTTAACATATCCAGTTAGCCACATAGCACGAGGATGGCTCTAGCAATTTTCTCAGCTTATTCTGAAATTCAGCAGGTCAGTGAGGTTCAACTCCTGGTCCCGATGTAATGAACAACCATCATTCAACCAGCCCAGTCATCTTTCAGATCTGAGGCGACAGAGAACTCAGTGCCTCAGAACCCGTCGACAACAAACCCACCCACCCTAAGAAAATTATTTAGTCAAAGAGGTAAATAGAAAAATGTATCATCCTCAT